CCCCCGCCTCCCGCCACCTGCCAGATGGTTTCTCCTCACCTCCTCATTTTTTTTACACGCGGCTCGGTGCTCTGAAAATCGTCAGCCTCTGGCGTTTTATTTTTGCGATGCGATGATCGCGCGCCACAGCTCGAGTGTCGGGGAAACGTTTCGCAGTGCGCATGCATTGTTAACACTTTGCGGGTGACGCGGAGTTTTAATGGCCATGAATCGTGGAACACCGTGGCTGCAATTGCGCAATTTTATGCCCTCCTATAATGGTTACGTACGAAATAGTTATGCGGTCGTTTCCCTGGCATAAAGTTTATTGAAGATGCGATGTAAATATAAAATTACGGAATAATGTATGCCGGCACGATCGCCGGCTAGCCGTACTGAGAAAGGCTGGCAGTGCTAGCCGCCCCACACTATCTCGCAGTTTGGCATTAATACAGAAGACTTTTCTATCTCCACCACGCTCGTTTGAATTCTATTACAGCTTTTCCGCATTATAATTGGCGTGAAAACAGTGAAAGCTGCAGCCGAACGAGAGACGGCGTCGCACTCCCCGGTGCATTGTCGGGCGAGTGCGCGGGTGTGCGCCGCATAATGAGCAAGCTGATATAGGGCGCAGAATCATAGCGAAATAGATTGCACTGATTCACCGAGTCGTCGAGATTTGCGAGTCGAGGTCAAGCAAATTCAACGGATCAGTTATTAATGACGTCGGTCCGCGGCGCCTTACGCTCGTGCGCGCGACGGAGGCTGTCACTGTTTGCAAAGTGATTCTGACGCGGTGCCATTGCTTTCGCGCAGATAATGAGGTTCCAGCCGTACGACCTTCGCAGGAGACTCTACATCATATTCCGCGGCGAGGAGGGACTTGATTACGGAGGAGTCGCGAGGTTTGTTGACCAGCGCGCTAGCGTCTAGTCTCTCGACGCGTACACGTAACACGTCATCGTTTTCTGCATTGCCATTCGTCAGCTCCTTTCTTTCTACGAGAGTGGTGAACTGTGGATGGCGTTTATTGCGAAGGTCGTGTTTTCATTAAGACTTGATTCGTTTGCGCGTTT